AGAGAGAGAGAGAGAGAGAGAGAGAGAGAGGGGTTTGACAAAAACAGTCCTAATTAAAAATGGTTCAAATTGAAGGACAGGTCCAAATAATGGGTAGTACTAGTAGTCAATAGTCATTAGTGATGTACAAGGTGCAGAGGACTCCAGCCCTTACAAAGGGCAGAAAAAAAATATAAAATAAAATAAAATAAAAACCATACCCAACAACTGCTCCTACACAATTTTCTATGCTTTGTTCGAGATATTTGTTAATACAGATATAAACTAAATTAAATAATTAATATATATATACACACACAAAAGAAATGACGAAGTCAACAAATTTATGAATAAAAAATAGTTTACTTTCTCAGTAGAATAATACTATTTGTGATAGCATCGACAGATGTGGGATTAAAATTTACCCCCCCCCCCCCCCCCCCAAAAAAAAAATTTGTGCTATTAAAATATCATCACTCTATCCTTGTATATTTGTCAGTTTCATATTCAACTTAATTGTTCAAAGTCTGCCTTAAACTAATGTGTAAGGAGAAAAAAATTGTCCTAAGTCTTCATTATAGATATTGTTTTAATATTTTACTTATTTTAGTGTCAGGAATGACAACGTAATAGTAGCTGATTTTAAGGTTTCGTTTGACATGCTTTTTGTTTCTATTGATTTTATTTTTGGGCTACTATAGTGTCAATTTTGACAACAAAAACATATTTGATACGGCCTTATTTTATTTTACATAGTGCTAAAACACTTCATGAACATGGCCCAAAATCAAAATACGAAAAAATTATTATTATATTTTTTTTTGACAACTGTTCATAACCCAAAATCATACTTTGCATATTTCTGTTTCCGACATTTTCACAACAAAACATCGTTCCCAAACATGCTTCGATTTTTTTTTCCAAAACTCTCCTACAGCAAAAACACTATTTCTGTTGTAAAAATAAAAAAAAAAAAAAAAACCCGCCTAAAACAAATCACATACCAAACGGGCCCTAAGGTTCTTAAGTATGACCGAATAAGATCCGTGTATGTGTATTAATTTTGGGACATTAAACCTCCACCCCAAATTTGCTTGATACCTACGATGTAAAGAGAATTACAAGACATAAACTTTAGGATTAATTTCACTTACACCCCTTCAGGTTTGGCCAAATATCATCCTCAAACATATTTCAAAAATAACTATCACTTAAGTCCATTTCTAATTTTTCGTTAAATATTCTGTTAAATATATAAGAAAAGACAACTTTATCCCTAATTTTTTAATCTCTTTTATTCCAAAATATCAGATTAGATAAGTGACCATTATACCATACACCCACCTACCAACCCAGACATTGCAACAGAGATGTTTCTGCCATTGAGGAACCAATCCTCTGATTAAGGAGGCCGACTTTAGTTTCAACAGGAACAAAAAGAGACACAAGTGGGTGGTGTCTCAAGATTGAAGATATCTGGAAAGTGTTGATATGATAATAATGTATAATTTAATTGAGCCAAACAGAAAAGAAAAGAGAAAATGAGAAGGAAACTGCTTGTTTGTGCCTCAAGATTGAAGAGATGGAAATGCTGATAATAATAATAATATTAATAATGATAATGTGAATGAATGAATGAAGCCAAACAAATAAATTGTGAGAAAGAAATTGATTCTGGGTGTCTCAGGATTGAAATTAAAAAGAGATTGAATTGATTAATCTAATCTTTTCTCCTCGGAAAGAGGAGGAGAAAGGGAGGGAAAGAAGAAGAGGAAAAGATGGACACCACTGGGCAAAGAAAGGTGAGGGATGGTTTGAAGGATAGAAAGAAATATAGAATCTAATAAGGAAATTGTTAAATTCAGTCAATGACCACTTAGCTTTGTATTTTAACAATTCAATGATAAATTTCACCTACTTTATTTTAGGACAAAATCACATTATTTTGTGATATGGGGTGATCCTAAATATTGCAAATACCTATCAATCCGGAAATTTTAATCCACAAAGAGATATAGAACTTTAACGAGTCGCTAGTGGCAAAGGAAGAAAAGGAGACCAACAGATTCCGGTGACAAGTTGAGGAATCAATCCTCTGTTGGTTGGAACATTTGTATTGGCCCGTCCCATGGGATTCTAAGATCGCCGCCATTGAAACTTCAAAAACAGGTAATAATAGTCTTGGCATAGTTTAAACATGATGTAATCTTTGCCACATTTTCAAATATCAAAATCTATAAATTGAACCTTGCCAGTTGCCACATGAATGATTAAAAACTATGTTGAATTTTATTGACAATGTCACATTAAATACAAATCTTTATATATCGTCCTTGTACTATCCACCACGTGGTACCACCGTTAATCATATCTGCCTCAACGTAAATTACAGTATATAAATGTGTGTGTATATGTAAAAATACAATTGCATCAGCATGACTCATCAATTACCTCTTAATCAAAATTTAAATATTTTGGCAGTTTGCCTATGCCAAATGGCACAACCAAAGCCATAAGCATAACCCAAGTAGCATGACAAGTCTTTTTTATATGTATACGTAAATATATATAAAAATTATAAATATATATATATGTAGAGAGGGTTTGACAAATACATCAAACTATTACCTATTCTTTAGACCTGTCCTTTGTTTGGATGTTCTAATTAAAAATGGAGACATTTATTAGGTTTCAAATTAAAGGACACGTCTAAAGAATTAGTAGTCAATAGTCATGTGTGATATATGAAGTGTTGAGGACTCTAGTCTTTACTAAGGGCAAAAAATAAAATAAAATAAAATAAAATATAATTCATTCCCACCGACTGCTCCTACACAATTTTCTATGTTTTGTTCGATTGTTCAGCATCATTGTTATTTGTTAGTGCAGATATAAACTAAATTAAATAATTAATATATATACACACACAAAAAGAGATGATGAAGTCACCAAATTTATGAACAAAAAATATTTTACTTTCTCGGTAGAATAATACTATTTGTGATAGCATCAACAGATGTGGGATTAAAATTTACCCCCAAAAAAAATATATATATATATATTTGTGCTATTAAAATATCATCACTTCTATCCATGTATATTTGTCAGTTTCATATTCAACTTAATTGTTCAAAGTCTGCCTTAAACTATTGAGTAAGGAGTAAACAAAATGTTAGAAGTCTTCATTATAGATATTGTTTTAATATTTTATGCATATAATTGTATATAAAGAAACCTCTCAATCGCTGTTTAGTGTCAGGGAGGACAACATAACAGTACCCGACTTTAAGGTTCTTAAGTATGTGCGAATAAGATTGTGTATGCATATTAATTTAGGGACATTAAGCCTCCACCCTAAATTTGCTTGATACCTACTATTTGGAGAGAATTACGAGACATTTTGAAATAGTCATTTTGGGCTCATTTCACTTGATCACAACACACAACTATATAGATGGTGAATCAGCAGCCTTTGTTGACTACATGTATTTGTATTTGTGCAGAACCATGGCTTCAAACCAAAGGATTCAAAATCTCAGTAGACTTTGTTTACGTCTTCAATCATCACCAATTTTAACTTCATATATAAGCATAAGACTCAAACAATCTCCTCCATTTTTTTTTATGTCTTAACTCCTTATTTTTTTTAATTTTTTAAAAAGGAAGTATGTGACATTACGTGTGGGACTAATCTATCTCAAAGCACACGTAATATCTCACAAGTCGTATGCACCGGACAAGATAAGACACATTTAAGGTTCAGATTACAACTCCTTTTCTTAAGATTACTTAAATTTCTAAACATTATACTTTTCTTTCACATTTGCCTAACCCTAGTGTGTTTTGGTATGTTTCATGGACGAGGCAACAAATTTAAATAGATAAATCCAGAATAAATTTAAATGGAAAATTTAAATTCTCTGTTGTAAATTCTAAGGTTTTTGTCTTAAGTGAGGATATGTAATAAGCAGAAATTTATGAAAACGTGAAATAACATAGATATTTTGGAAACTTTGATAATTAGCCATAAGATATGCATTTTTCAATGTGATTCAATCATGGGCACAAAGTAAAAGACTATGAACAATTGATGAACTAGTCATTCTATATATATACATAAATAAAATAAAATAAAAACTGCGTAACACACAATATAAGCTTTCAACTCAAAGTTAGAAGAGTTCAGGTCTGACCCTGAAGTCTGAACCAAAAAAAGAAACTTTGAATGGTATTGTAACAGCATTAGTGAAACTTATTCGATGTTATGTTTATTTTTCTCATTAAATTACTATAACTAATCTTCAAATCAACTGTTTCTAATTACACATGCACTTGATAGCAACAGAAGGAAAATTAGATATTATATACCTAATGACCACATCCACATCACCCAATTAACAGGATTTTCATTATAAAAAAAAAGTCATTTAGCATCGTGGTCCATCATTCAATGCCCTAGTAAAAAGGGATACGTTATTATTTGTATGAAGTAGCTGTGGCCACCATTGATAATATTTCTCTAACATAGTTTTACGGGATATTCTTAAAAAGTTACTATACATTCTTTAAATTTTAAGAATGCCAACGTAAAATTATGTGAGAGGGTGTGGGCCCTTATTGCATGACATCACACACCACCCACAACCCCTCAATTAGCATCCTCCAAAGTCGGATGATGTACATCTTTTTTCTATCCTTAATTACAAGCAAATAATCCATCATTTATTTTATTTTATATTTTTTGCAAAGAAATAATCCATCTAAGAGTTGTACAGGTTTAGAAAAAGTTAGTAAGATGTATGTGCTTGATGAATCCACAACTTTCCAATCAGTTAGCATATTAGGTTAATCAGGCAGTATTCACTTCTTGGACCACGTTTTGTTGCTGAATTGGTATTAGGTTGGAAAAGTAGCAGTCACATTTAAGTAGAAGCAAGAGAAGAAAACTTTCATGATTGATCTACATTGAATCACCTCACTTAACCTACAAATTGCAGTTATCCAAAGAAACTAACTTCATGAACCAGTCACCTTAATTTCAATCATCATCACTTCTCTTATTAAAGCTTTTTTGTATAGCCATTGAAATTTTGATAACCAATGGCTACAACCCTTTTACTGTTTTGTATTCTTGCTTCACTTTTCCTCATTTCCCATGCTCAAACTTGCTCAAACTACACCTTTTCATCCAACAGAGCCTTCACTTCTTGCACCGACCTTCCACATTTACAAGCCCACCTTCACTGGAACTACATTCCATCCACTGGAAAACTTGAGATCGCTTATAGAGCCAACCAAACTTCCAACGGATGGGTTGCGTGGGCAATCAATCCGACTGACACAGGCATGGTTGGTTCACAGGCACTTGTTGCATTTCAAAACGCTAATGGGACTATGACTGTCTATCCAACACCGATAACCAGTTACAGCCCTTCAATGCTACCGGGGACTCTCAGCTTTCAGGTTTCAAACATCTCTGCAGAATATTCGAATAAGGAGATGATGATCTTCGCAGATGTAGGTCCACTTGATAATGGAACTGTTGTCAATCTTGTTTGGCAAGCAGGAAGTTCGGTTACCAACAATGTCCCTCAGGTTCACTCGATGTCAATGCCAAATCTGCATTCAATGGGGGCACTTAATTTTCTATCTGATTAGAAACAAAGATTCATAGAGGGAACTATAGCAAATAAGTGATCAAATTTGTCTGTGAACCATTTTCATAAGAGAGGTCATGTTTATTACTCAATGTTATAAAGCTCTTGTAGTTTGTTATCATCTATCCAACACTCCTCAAGACAGTTGAACTTCTGATTTAATGAACTTATTTGTCTGCCTTACCATGGTACCTCAGTATATATATCAACTATTTACATTTATATATATATATATATATATATATATATATATATATATATATTTATATTTGGAAGGTACGTACATTTATATGTTGATTATATAAAATAAGACAGAAAAAAAATAGAGAACAACTAGAAGGTAAGCAAGGCAATGTTCCATCTAATCTTTAACTTCTCTTTTCACCTTTTGGCCAATAGCAGATTCCAGTCTCTTCTAAACCTTTTAGGTACTAAATTTCTAGCTAGAAATATCAAAGAAGCAACTACAGGAAAAGGCAAATGAGTGCAGCAGGCATCATGCCGAACTGTATAGGTAGGGCTTGGTCAAAAAAGAGAGAGAAAGGAAAAGAAAATCTAGGCTTTTATTATTATTAATCATGATCTTGTAAGTGCAATATACTTTCAAAAATAAAATAAAAATTGCAATATAATTCTAGCATCTTTCTATAATATTAGACCAAAGCAAAAAATATAGCTCCCCAATGCAATATATATAATGGTTGCGAAGAGTTAGAATAAACGCCAACCCTCACACGGAAGCTTCAAGCTGAAGGAGAAAAGATATTACAGAAGCTCAGATGAATCAGCAATGGAAAAAACAGTGTTGTCAAGTAAATATGCAATGTGATGTGCAGAATTTCGCCCATCCTATTCCATTTACCAGATTAGCAAAAGATAGAAGCTGGTGTGAATTCTTAATAGTACCACTATTCAAAATAAGTTGAGAACAAATCGAGTTGTATTAGTTTAATTGGTCCTTCCAGAGCAGAGGAAAAACATGGTGTCAAATATGCATATTCTATAGTCCACCTCACAAGTGTAAAGCTTAAACTTGTAGCAAAGAAAGTTCGTGTGGGAGGAGAATCAGAATATGGGTAAACTTATTCACGGGAACCAAGATGGGCAACTTTCAAATGTTTCACACTAGTAAATCAACAAGAACCTCTGATACAATCTGAGGAGAAATAAATCCCAAAAACAGAGAACAACAAAAACAAGGCATACTGACCACAACCTGCAACTTTGCAGAGACATTACAGCAGGAAGTATAAATTTTAGAAATTGAACCCTCCAGAAAAGAATCAGTCAATTTTTCTTTATGTATCACCCGCCTCACCAGAGATGCCTGATACATTCCCGACTATATGCCGCAACCTGATGTTACATCTCACTCAAAACCAAAAAATAACACCTAAAATGGTGACACAAAACTCAATCCTTAACACAAAATCCTTTGTAACTTCTATCCCTAAACTTAATTCTTCAAAACATGCAACCAGTCAGCTCCAGATACCAATTTTTTAAAGTGATATATTAACGAGGGACTGCGCAAATGTCACAGTTCATCTGCTACACCAAATTACTTCAACTATAAAATTCTGACGTCCAATATCCTCCTAGCCAGTAATTCCTGCAGCAAGTGAAAACCAGAACTCATAAACACCCCAAGATAAAATCCAAAACGAGAAGTGAGAACTAATAATATGTTTAGATAATAAGGAATTATATATGATTGTGGTTTAATTGGAAAAAAAAATGAGCCTAAATTCAAAGAAAAAATTAAAGAGGGAAAAAATTATGACCCTTGATAATGAAATAGTAAAACGGGATTCATGTAAATGACCTTAAATAGTTGAGACATGCCTTGAATAATTAAAATGTAGAAGCTTTTATGCAGTACTTTGATACCAAGGCACATGTTAGCAAACCGTGTGATGGAAATTAGGTAGTCCCTAATCCTAGAAGTCATAGTCAAAGCACGCCTTGTCAACTCCAACACTTTATAGCATTTAAAGTTGGCAAAGTCAGTCTAAGAGACCTTGACGCATTTTTGTATTTTTTGACAAGAAAAAGAAAAGGTTTACCTATGGAAAATCTACCACAAAAAAAATAAAAAATAAAAAATAAAAAATAAACACCTACATATCCCAGTATGGAGCCACTGAACCTGAATACTCTTAAAGACAAGAAACCATCTACCAAATTATTCACCCTTCCAGTCACCCAAGAAAAAAGAAATGCCCTTCCATAAAAAAGGCCATCCATTTCTCTACCCCCACCGAAAAAAAAAAAAAAAAAAAAATGGAAACAAATGTACCACATCAAACAAAGAGTGCAGCATTCTTCTTCTTCCTATTCAATTAATGAATTCTATATATCATTTGGCACATAATCAATTAGGAATAAGCTCAAACTCAAACAATTAGACTTGATAAAACTTAAACCTGCTACAACGACAATTAGGAAATTAGGAAGTCCCATTCCACTTCAAGGGGAAAAAAAAAAAAAAAAAAAGGAAACCCTTTTCTCCAAATTGAAGAACTTCGTAAATATCTCTAAAATGGTGAAACTGATAAAATGGATTGCAATAAGCAATTCACTGCTTTAAATATGAAAATTCCTGAAACAATAAGTTTAAGGGATTGGAGGAAGATCTCTCCTCTCTACTCTTTAGTCTTTGCTCAGAGCATAGTAAAGAAATCTCTCTACTCATAATCATGAAAATATTTGGAAAATGGGAATTATTCGACACATGGATAGTTCGCAATTAGGGAGATCCCGGAAAATACTGAGAACTGTTCGGAGAGAGAGAAGTGGGGGAGGGGGGATCCTTATGTGTGCTAAAACCCAACACTATTTAAAATATTAAAAGCACAAGGTCTTATTTTATATTTAGTCTAAATAATTCAATTGAGTATTACTTGTAATTTTCATCTCTAAAGTAATTCTGGATTATAAAAAAAAGGGACTTTACGCAGTTCTGGTATTAATAAATATGCAAAAGAAATTTAGGAATCATAGGTTCCATGAAAATCAGGATAAATTAAAGATTTTTTTTTTTTTGAAAAAAAAAAGCCTCATAATTTTATTACCATGCACATATTTAAAATAAACATCTACCAAAACCATTGGACAACTTGCTCAAAGATTCCTGCTTGAGCAACCCAAAAACAAGATCCAGAATAGAGTTGTGCATCTTTTGTTTGTCACTATTTATGAATGTCACAAGTAATCATTAAACTAAATCAGTTGTGAGTTATTACCTAACTAGATTAATCTCAAGAAAGTCTTGTCCCAACTATCTAGTGTTGGGTACATAATTATGTTCTCTTTTAACATTAACTGTTCACGCTAGGTTTGAGGGCTGAATCCTATTCTTCTCCAATAATGGTGAGACTATGGAATCAAAATAACATAGAGATTGGTAAGACTACTACCAAGACTTATTCCTACAGCTCTGTCAACGGACAACTCTCCCTTTCTACACACACCACCTAAAACAAAAACAAAAGAAAGAAAGTAACAAAAAGCATGGGGATTGCTGTTATTTGTATAAATTATATAATTTCACAAACTCTTAATAAAAGGATACACAGGTAAGATCTATGAGATCAAGACTTATCCTGTGGCAACAAATCAACCTCAGTCAGCCACAGACAGCACATCCATATCTATCATTACTATTCTACTCCAATTAATATAACAAATAAAGAATCAGCTACATCGATGGGCTTCAAAATTGGGCTGATCTAGGGCGGGAAGCTGTAGTTTAAGGATTAAAAGTTCCAGCTAGCTTCCTCGTAATATCTCTATGTGGTTCTACTAGTGATTGGAAACAAACAAGCCTTCATCAGGGTTCAGGGTTTAGGGGGGAATGGGAGTTTGAGAATGAAGGTTACCCCCTCTCCCACTCAATCACACAGCCCACTGTCAACTTATGACAAGAAAAGAAACGAAAATTATAGCGCCTCCTGCAGAGAGAACAAGAGAGAGACCTGAGTTTTTATCATATCAACAAGGGCACACCAAACTTAGAGGAATAGTACATATCCCGGTCTTGCACAAAAATGGGAAACACGCAATCACGGATCTGAATCTTCCAGTGATGAGACATAAATATATATTAAATCATAGAGAAGGGATGTGGCACATCCGTTACATATTGCCTCTATGCTTAGCCATTGAACCTTAGGAGCAAAGAGTGGCACCAATCCTCCAATGTCCCAAGTAGAATGTTAATGAACAAGTCCATGACATCATTCCCAACTGTTAGAATATCCTTTTCTATGTATTCCTTTATGCCATACACAAACTCAGTGAACAGATGATAGGGAAGAGTGGAAGACTCACAGCATTAAATTAAAATTACACTTTTGTATCTATCAAAAAAGACTACACTTTTGTCTAGCATAACTACAACAGATGTAAATACTAAATACATAAATGTGAGACTGAATGAGGGGGATGTTCAACAGCAGAATATTACTACTATACATCCTAAGGGCGTCCTAACATGCTGCATTGATTAATTTCTATCATCTATATATACTTGCTACTCTTCATACAGGAGTTCTAAATCAAATATATAATTTTTAAAATTATTGTGAATTTTTCCATTTTATCAATTTTACTTATTAAAATCAATATAGGATCTTTATGTTTCCCTAATTTTTCAGCTTCCTCGATTTTTTTTCCAGTCCAAGTTATATCGAAGCATTAAGGTGTGTCCCCACCCAAATAAATTTCGGGCATAAATGAAAAAAAAAAAAAAACACCACCACAAAACAAAACAAACTACTATGTCCATCAAATGTCTTAAAAAAGGAACGAATCCTCTCAATATCTTTTTGTCAGTAAGTTAGATTTCATCAAAAGAGAACACGATAACAATAACCAATGAACAGGATACAGTATACAGGGAACAACCCCCAGATATGGAACACCAACAGGGCAACTCTGCAGCACATGCAAACACAAGAACAAAACTACCACAAACATTAACTAACAGAAACTAGAAATAAACTCGGCTTGAACTAACTCAACTAAACTACCATACGCATGAACTAACAGAAACTAGAAATAAACTCAACTTGAACTAACTCAAAATTCAGTGACCCTATCCATAACCAAGATAGTATGAAAGAAGGCAGTCTATATAAAATATTGACTGCTCTTTGTATCACACCAAACCAGAAGATCACATATAAATTAAGAGCAGATCCTCAACACCAAGAAAAAAAACCATAGAAGGAGAAAATGAACAGATTATCTGAACCAAGATCAAACCTCTCAGCAATCAACTTCTAACCCAGTAAATCAGAACATAAGCAGAAGACTAACTGAACACCATATCAGGGAACATTTCTCTCAATATTAATCAAAACTAGTTCTTCAAACAATAAAAGAGCAAATTCCACAATCTCAACAAAAGAAAAATCAAGTTTGAAAACTAGGAATCGTGTACCCAACTACAGGATTGAGGTCCAAACAAGGATCAACATGAGTTCGCCTAATCAAGTTTCCAGAGCAAGAGTAGGAGTGCATCAAGTATTAAAAGCACAAAACGTCAAGGGTCAAACCTTCAATCTAATACTTAATCTTTTTCCTCAGTCACAATCACCTACTTCGGATAATTTTCCGCACCTCAAACATGACATTCACATTAGTAATCAATTATATTCTTCTTTCCATAAAAATAGTGGAAGTAAAATTATGGTTACGACTGAAGTTCACCCAATGAACTACATATTATAACATTATTTTATTTTCAGAATGTGAACTTCACCACAATTTCTAGTCAAAATTACAGCATCCATGAAATCATGAGAGCAATTTGGTCGCTTTTTCGGATGTTCAATAAGATGACAACATTCAATAAGTGTGAGGGAATCCAGATGATATTGTGCATAATTTAGAAAATTAATAATAATTCTCTATTTAAAACAGCATACTTCATTATATTATGCAACTATTGACGTTCTGTGAAAACATGCATATTGGCTATGTAACATAAAGTTCTAAACTAGATAGCATGTCATTAAAAAGATTAGATTGAGCAAACACTAGCTAATAGATTAATTGACCAGACTCTTACCTCTATCTGCCTGCCTCTTAGTAACACTATAACCGCCAATAAAACCAGAAGAACTTTTAGATGGAATATCAGAAGCTCCGCCAAGCCCATACCCAAATGAGCCAGATCCGTCTCGCTCAGAATTTGCTGAACGCCAGGTGGAGTCTCCATAAACCAAACCACCACCATAGAAGTCTGCAAAAGCTCCGTCATGACCCCCATTTGATGCAGTATATGATGATGTGGGGGGTCCACTAGTTGCACCACTTCTGCCGTATCCTCCTACTCCCAAACCATAATTGTTTTCACCACCTCCATAACCAATATTACCGCTGTTGCTAGAAATATTTCCTCCACCTTGAGGCAAAATTGGAGAAGAACCCCAATTAACTGCACTGTTGCCAAAGGTGCCTCCTCCAATGCTCCCGCTTCCTGATCCCATATAAGCGTTTGAATTTGCAGGGTTTGTTCCATAATTAAACCCCCCATTACCCAACAAATTCCGAGTTGCTGTGCTGAAAAAAGAAGAGTTTCCTCCTTCATATGTGATAGGACTACCCAGCCTATTTGAATTGCCAATGTAATAAGGGTTCAATCCCCGTCCATAGCTGAGAGTACTATTAAAGTTTGCACTTCCCCCATAACTTGGGCTCAACCCTGGTTCAAAGTTCACGCCCATTCCATAACCAGAACCAAATGGAGCAAACCCACTTCGACCACCAGCGATTGGACTGAATCTACCATCCATCCTAACTCCATAGCCTCCAACTGTACTTGGAGGGTATCCTTGAGTGTAGCCATTGAGAAAGCTATTGATCCTATTCATTCCATAGTTATATCCACCAAGTGGGCTCCTGCTAGGACCCGGTGATAGCTCCTTGGGAACTGCTCGCTTGACTTCAACCATTTTACCATTCAGCTCATGAAAAGTTTTGAGTAACACTTTGTCTACCGCGTCCTCTGAATGATAAGTTATGAATCCAAACCCTCTTGGCCTCTGAGTGGCGTGATCATACATCACCACAACATCTGTAATTGTCCCAAATTGCTCAAAGTACTTCTTAAAATCGCTCTCTGTAACTGTGGATGCTAAACCTCCTACAAATATCTTTCTAGTGCGTCCTGGACCAGGAGAACCTTGAATGCTACTATTGCTTCTACTCATTGTGTTCTGGTCATCCCTTGGAACAGCCTTTTTTGCCTCAACCTGACAATTAGGAATTCGATAATGAAACCCCAACTCAAACAGTATACAATTCAATAACTTTCTGAAGTCAAATTATACAACAAAATTTGTGCACAAAAAGTAAAACCGTGAAAGAGCAACAAAAGCAAGAACCAATGACATGAAATACATTTGGCCTAATCTGAAACTGAATGGTATATATTATCTGACCGATACCAAACCTGGGCAATTAAAATTTTGAACTTGAAGATGAATCCTCTTCCTTCCTTCCACCCACAGATAGACAAACACACCCCAATACTTTTGAGTGATCAATTTACTAATACGACACTTAATATACAATAGATTCAAAGAACTTACCATCCTACCATCAATGTTGTGCTTCTCCTTAATGACTCTCTCAGCAACAGCTGGGTCGGAAAAGACAATAAAGCCAAAACCACGAGCACGTCCGGTGGTCCGATCCTTCATAATTACTGCTTCCATCACCTCCCCATAAGTACTAAAATACTCCTTTAGACGTTCCTCATTTGTGTCCCAAGAAATTCCACCAATGAATAACTTACCAAGATCAGACTGCATTTTCTCTACATGGAAAATATCACTTCATCAATCCAAGTTCTAAAATTTATAAATTCAAATCACCATTATTCAATTCAAAAACAAAAGCTAAACTTCTTTCTAAACAAAGACCATTTCAACATCTTATACAGTTGATCCATCACATAGACAGCTCTGGGCATCAAAAGATCAATCAAAATTCCATCTTGTAGCTATCATAACAATTGAAGCACCATGAAATTGAAATGTAGATTGATAAAAACAATCAAACAATAGAAAGTATACCTTGTTTTGGATAATTGTGAGAGAAACACAAAATGGTATCTCGGATACCAATTGAATTTTCTCGGATTCAATTCAAAAACATAGGATGGGATCCTTCGACGACCAATCCACTAAATATCCAACAACCTGAAAAAACCCAACAACGAAATCAATCATAAAATTTCTTATTTGCAATTTACCAACACCCGAGACATATCCAGATTTTTGTTGAAAGAAAAAATAAATAAATAAAAGAACACCTTGTTGAAGAAAACCCAGATGAGAAATATTGAAAAAAACTAAGATCTGAGAGGAGGCAAAGTAAGAACCGAGGGCGTGTTCATCCTCCTCAATATGCCCCCTGTTTTCTCTCTCTTTGTTCTTTCAATTCTTTTAATTTTAATTACAAACAATGCAAATTCAGATAAACCAAACAGATGGTATATAAGAAGATGTATGTGCAAGGTTTGATGTATAATTATTGGAAGATATATCTATATATAAATATAACTTATAATGGAAGTGTGTTTTTATTTTATTTTTTCCTCTGTTATTTTTTGTGGGAAGAAAAGAAATACGAGTATATATGTTGTAGTGAGAGAAAGAAAATGGACAAATGAAAATGGAATGTTTGATCTGATAAATGGAGGTGGTGCCATATTTAGGAATATCTACCCTACAGTTCAACAACTCGTGTAACTTCATGTCTGAGCCCACATCATGTGAGCCCCACACTCTGATTGCAAAGAAGCAGCCGTAGATTTTGAATACTTTCGGCTACTAGCATCATGCTTTTTAGTATTGCAAGGAATGGGCAACCAACGGTTCTGATTGCTTGATTGTGTTGCCTTCATGATTTTTCTTGATTCATCGATTATGTATTTACCTGAAATAAACTCAAATTCACCCTATCAGTCAAATGAAAAAAATTTGTCTGCTGTGTTGATTTGATATTTTTGAATTTTTGAATTTACATCGTTCATTAGTCATTCGTGTGGTATGATTCTAATTTTGAATGGTTATGTTATGTTTTTAATGATTCTAATTTGAGTTGTCCTAAAGTGTTGACTGATTTAATCTTACTCAATATTTAGTGCTGTAATATTTAAATCACCCTTTATGTTGATGGTATTCTTCAATTTCAATTTGTTTGCAGAAAATAACACTAACTTTATATACGAATGTGGTATGTTTCATGTTTACATATGGAAAGGAAGAAGCTTGTCTATTAAAAGAAAAAGTTACTCAAATTTAACTGTAAATGGAATTACGAAATCTCTAAATCGTGGATCCCCTCGGGTGTATGATGTTGTTGCGCATGTTTTTCCCTCAAATTTAATTTGTGATGCTATTACGAATCTCTCTAATGAATAATGATGTTTACTTGGAGGTCCAATATGATTAAGTTGATTTTGTAGGACAACACTAATATTTAAAACAAAAACACACATTTTGTATCATCAAAAATCGTCAGAAGTAAGTTTCAATATAATAGTTTTTCCCTCCATGTTATGTTGGAGTTCTCAAGCAAGGATCTCAAATTATGTCACTTAATAATTTATCAACTTCTTTGATTTGTACTTGTGAGATTGACACATAGACATGTTTGGAGTAACGAATAAATATGGACATATTTAGTTTTTAACTTTAAAAATAGTTTTTAGAGAATAATTTTTATAATTATCTGAAAATAGACACTTTTATAAATGAGTTTTCAGGAAAATGAACAAAGGAGATTTTTTTTTGTTAAGTTTTATGTTTTTTGAAAATAGAAAGTTGTTTTTATAGTTACAAACATATCATATGTCTTTGTGTTTATGTTAGTTGAATAAAGGGTTAATTTCACTGCCACCCTTTCAAATTTAACCAAATATCACTTTAAAACACCTTTAAAAAATTACTGACACTCCAAATTATTTTTTCATTATTGACACCATCAGAAAATGTGTGAAATAATATTTTTACCTTCATTTAGCCTTTTAATCTAAAATATTATAATTATATAAGGATGAAATTACCCTCAATAATTAATTATCCAACATCACCCTCACTCTCACTCTTAGTCATACATTCTCTTTATCGTCGTATGTGGGTCACCTCCCACAACCTCACCGCCATTACTAGTTGAATACATTATCAATAATTTGTTTCAAATAAAACTCATAAAAGAAAAGGAGTCACACAACTAAATAAAAGAAATATATCCTTTATATAACACACAAACACAAATTACTCCAATTTTTCAATCATCAGAGCTTTTGTGCTCTTTAATAAAATTCATTTATCAAAAAATAATAATAATCCTCAGTTCAGTTTGAATTTTGAAGTGGTTAAAAAAAAAAAAAAATTTATTTTTACAGTGATTTATGTGTATTCTTTTGTAATGTGTTATGTGTCTAAATCGTTTGGTCGGAATACTATATAAAGCAAATGAAATTCGTTATTGAAGTTCAAGAATCAAGAGCTTTCACATATTATAACTTTTTTGTTTATATAAATATAATGCATTATACACGTCTAGAGGTTAAAAAATCATTATAGTACCAAAAAAAAAACATAAGACAATAAGGAAACTTTTTTTAAAAAAAATAGGGAAAATCTACAACAAACCCAAAATCTAAATTTGCATAAATAATTTTTTTTTTCTGGCATATTTGATCATACAGAGCAAAATATTATTAAAAAAATTACATTGAAGCCAAAATAGAGAGAGAGATGGCAATAATAAGTGGAAAAGACAAAGTTTGTCACCAGTATTTTTGTCTTTTAAATAATTTATTTAGGGTAAAAGGGGTTTTAACAAAGTCAAATGGGTAGCAATATTATTTTACATTCAAAAAATAATCTGACAACTTTAAAAAGTAACATTTGGGGTCTGAGTGAAAAACTAAACAAATGATTATAATATGAGTAATAGTAATTTTCTAAAAATATTAATATTTGACCAAATATGAGCCGGTGTCAGTTAAATTAACCAGCGAATGAAATATGTTCTCTTATTTGAACAAAATCAACTATCTGCAAATTTCCCTCCATTTCAGTAAACTTGACAGATTAATTACTCTAATTCCTGGTTAAATTTGATTCTTGTTTACTGATTTAACTATCATACATCAAAATCATAGATTCATATATATATATATATAGTTAATGCGTTAAATCACCTAAGCCCATAGACCAGGAGCACCTGGCTTCCTCTTTGATTTTCCTCTTCCAAACAAACTTATGCTCCTAAATACCTTGAGCAGCCTACTGGCATATTTTCTCTGGGAAGCAAAGTTCACAGAACCGATGCAAGCAGTCACTTGTCCTAGTGGATTCCTCTTCTTGCTCAATGTCCTTCCCTCTAGACCATATGGTCTCAAGCTCTGTGAATTGCCTGTAACTTGTTTTGTTTTATTCGAATCTGCTTCTGTTTTCTTCGAAATGTTTTGGGAATGAAGGCTTCTCTTCAAGGACAAGAGTTCTTGTTCAAGGTTTTGGATTCTGAAGCTTGTGGATTCGTACTCCTTCCTTGAGAATTCAGACCTTGGCATTGCTGTGTCTTTCTGCAGCGAGAAGCTTAGTGGTCTAGAATTGCCTGTTTCTCCTCCATCTATGTATGGACTCTCACCTAGGTTCTGGCTTTTGGAGTTTGCATATCTAGAGCTCGAGAGGCTTCCCGAGAATTCGCCACAATGTGCATATCTAAATGAGTCTGAGCATTCTTTGAAGGCTTGATGAGTGTTTAGTTGCTGAACGAAAAGCGCCTGGACAATCAGACGCAGTGGCATCAACTCGTTTTGGACTGCCTCAATGCACACCTCCTGTGATAGTTTTTGGCAGTTGAGGTATTTGCATACCAACCCTTTCTCATCTTGTGACATGTCTTGGTGTGCCTGAATAACAAAAAAAACTTCCCTCTTAGCTAGTAAAAAAGATTGAGCTTTGAATAGGCTGCAAATATGTGCCAACAATAACATATTGATGAATTTGAGATGGGTATTTGCAGATTAATATGTTCAATTTTGTTACGACAGAAAATCAGTAAACCAAACCAATTAAGAAGCAATGTATAAGGTTTGTGTGCGCGTGCATATGATTCTTTTGCACTCATTGATGCGAACCTACCTAGATTTATCTTACCAATACCCTCGAATTGAATTGGAGATTGGTTATGTAGGTCAAGAGGTGAGAGGGTTTGGTTGATCAAATGCAATTTTAATTTGCTTAGTGTTTGATGTCAAACTGACCCTATTCAAACTAAGTTGTACCAGAGTTTAAGCAGTGATAAAACTTACCAGTAGGAAGTTGTTCATTGCTCTGTAGAGATGATCATGGCTTTGTCTGCTAAATAGAGGTACAGTTTCAATGAGGTCCATGAATCTTTTAGGCCCCATGTTAGGATCAGCAGCTATATGCGAAAGATAAGCATCCCACAATTCTGCAACTCTGAAATTACTCAGTGAAGGAGCATGATTTGGATCCATGTTAGATGACACATAGGTTGAGAATATGCTCTCCATTGTAGCCAACTCAATGCTGTGAGAAATGGACGCTGTTCCTCTTGTTGGAAAGAGAAAATAATCCATTTGTGACAATTGTAGAAGAGATGAAATTTGATCTTGCAACTTTGTCTTGCTCTCACTCTTCAAACCAAGTTCAAGAGACCTAGAAAGCAATGAGAAGTAAAACCCAAGTGGGATCACTTTACTAGCCTTCTCTCCCATTGGCAACAAATCAAGAATACCCTCTAAGATCACTGAAACTTTGTTCTTCGTGTCATTATCTCCGGTTCTCTCACCGGAATTCTCCCAAAACTGGCGTGTCTTCTTTGATACTACCCATTTGTTTGCATAGAAAACAATAATGGGGCTCACATATTTCTCTTTCATTCCTTGTCTTCTCAAAGATCCAATTAGCCTTTTGAAGAATCCAAATGGCAAAGCAATTAGATCTTTGATCCACAAATCTTTGCTCACTAACTCCTTCACCGTTTCATTGCTCCAAGCTTGACCAGCCAAAGCCTCCAATGTGACCACTGGCTGGTCCCTTTTCCTTTCTGGATCAAGAATCTCCATACAAGCCATGAAGGCGAGAGATTCAATGCAGCGGCTCACAATTAGAAGCTCTTCGGCCCATGGAAGCAATGTTTGGCACTTTTGGAGAACAATTAATGTATCATCCCAACTTTGAAGGACCACTTGGTTCAAATAAATATCGAACCTGTCACAGAGGTTGCCGGAGCCATACTCTTCCGTCATTTCAAGAAACTCTGCTGCACATCTCAAGGCTGCAACGTTGAAGGGGTCAACTAATGTGGAAGAACCATAGATGAACAGTGCAATCATCTCAAAGGTCTCTGGTCCTCCTGGGAAATTTTGTGGTATCTCAACCTCATTTGACTCATTCAATCTCCTCTTGAAGTATCCACTCTTCGAAAATAAAGGGTACTGCAAAGCCAAAAAAAAAAACAAAAAATTTGAATTAGAAAGGGTCTGCTTGTTAAGGTTTTTTTGAGAACAGTTTTCTGTTTTAGTGAGAACATAAAATTGAAAAAGGGTAAAAAAAATATGTTTGGTTGATAGTTTCTGTTTTCACTTCTATATGCATAAACTTTAAACTTGAATTGAGATTCTTACCACTAACTTACCTTGTGCAGGTGAAAGGTCCTATCGGCAGCATGAACACGAACAGAAACAGGTAAACCGGTTTCTTGGCTCCTGAAATAACATTTTTGAATAAGATACATTTAAGAATTCTTTTATGGTATCCTTTGAAAGATAAAACAGAATTAATGAATTGACATCTTACCATGAAATAGTTTTGATCTTAAGCAAGGCCCCAACATTAGGTGACAAGAAAGGACTGGATAGAGTGGAGACCGATGTACCATCTTTCAGGCTAGCAGTGTCCATTACTAGAGGACACTAGAATCTGTGAAAGTGAAACTATTGATCACAGTCACAGCTGAACTTATAACCAAGGATAAACATAAGTTTTTTGTATGTCTTACTCTCTTTTATTGCCATAAATGCTTAATCTTGGTCCCAAAGATCGAAATAATAGTATTTTAATTATTGTTAGAGGTTCTAGAACCCAGAAAACCAGTGGAATTGAATGGGAGTGAAAGAGAGAAAAGAGGTGGTTTAAGCACTTTGTTCACACACCCGTGCAGTTTTCTATTGTGGCACATTTTTTAGTCAAAGTCATAGGCACACGAGTGGAACTCAAAATCCAAATTTTAAGGCTTCAAAAACGTTCTCGAGTGTTGGGAAGTTGAAAATCTTCATGTGATTCTTGTATAACCGAGTTCTAGTATGTAACCCATGTAGACACATGTATAAATGATGGATTGATCCTGAACATTGAATTGGATGCTAAGGGCTAAAAGGCTATCCCAATTCACGAGATTTCGTCATTACAGGATTTGAAGAGATCATATTGTGTGTAATTTTAACTTCATATGATAAGCCCGTTATTTCATAACTTTACCATTATGCCAAGATTCACTGTACAAATTGTATGGTAATGTATTCTTAAGATGACATGAATCACATAGATGGATGAAAGAGTGTGTTGGGAAAGTGAAAAGGTGGAACTAGAAGATATCAAAATATATGATAAATTAAAAAGTGAAGGAGATGAAGTGCGGATGAAGTTTTGTAGTGTGAATTGTGGTATAAGCTAACACCCAAGACGGCACGGCTTCTGAAAATTGGGGTGGTTTTTGGTTGATGGGTTTGCTTGCTTTGCTTACTACCACAAGTCTCAATCCCCATAATTTATTTAATATATATGTTTTGATATTGTATATAGGATTGCTTAGTTGTTTATGTCAATAGTTTTTTGTTTTCCAAAGAGTTTAATTATACAATAAAAAATATATCAATTAAATTCCTTAGAAAGGAGCAGAGTTACAGCTTTAGGTCCTTAGAACTCGAGCAATACATTCCTTTAAACATGCAAAAAAATATATATATCCACACACACACAATGAAGTGGCAAAACGAGACTAATAAAGTTGTTTGGATCTTGGTCATCTTATTTTTATAATTATAAATATAGAATAGCTATTAGTAGTATTATAATTTACAGGGTAAAGTGCAAAAAACCCCCTTCAATTATGCGTCATGTAACAGAAAACCCCCATGATCTACTAATTTGACATATAACCCCCCTGAACTAACGAATTTGGTGCAATTTACCCCGTCCGGTGATAAGCCGGTTGAATTTGGCCGTGAAGACGCACATGATGGGTCACGTGACAACCCAAATTTTTTTAAATGACCATACAACCCTTTATGAATCTAAAAGACCATAATGCCCCTTTTATTACCATTAAATCCAACCAAACATTGCCTTATTTTCCTAAATAGCAGTGCTATTCTACCCGACTTGCTTTTCCCCAACCAAAACCGACAACACGTGTCAGCTGCAACTCTTTTCCACTTTTATTCAGTTTCTCTCACTCCCCTGCCATCTCTATCTTCTCTCTTTCCTACGGCCGGCATCACCACCATGGAATCACCATCAAGCAAAGCAATCGGTGACGGAGATTTGTCGGGAGCGAAGAGATTGACGGAGTCGAGACGCCGGCCACGGATTCGTAGCAAGTTCGGTCTCTGGTAGGAATCCGATTACGAATCCGACGATATCACAGACCTGTCCCGGTGATCCCAATCACCTTTCGACGCCATCCTCACCGAGCTCATAGGTTGCAGTTAGTCACAGCCATCCCGTACTCAATGCTGATCCTTGCTCGCAGTGTTTTCTTCCTTCCTTGCCCATCGTCGGAATCGCGCACCACGCGTCAGTACGCACCAAACCCTCTCTATATCAGATTGTATCGACAACCTGCAACTTCCGATTATTTCGCCGGCGTTCTATTTTCTGCCATCATCAGTCCTTGTCGCCGACCACCAGTTAACCCTGTCGTCGTCACGACCATCTCGTAGCCGTTCTTTATTGTCAGCGTTCTCCGAGCACAAAAAAGTCGTTCTACGTTCTCCGACCATCTCGTAGGACAGTAGCGAATCAGCGATTAAAGAAGCCGCGATTCCGGTGATGGGATGTTATAAAGAAGCTCGCCCGTGATTGGGTTTGATGGCGGCCGGCGGGACTGAACGACTACGAGCTTGGCTTCGGATGGTGGCGGCCGGCGGTGGAGAGGACGGTGGAGTGAACTCACTGCTCGTACATCGCCGGAACAGTCTTTGATTTTCGGCGTTGTGAAGTTATGGTCGCCGACGTTGATTCTCTCTCTCTCTCTCTCTCTCTCTCTCTCTCTCTCTATATATATATATATATATATATATATATATATATGATATATTTATCTCTATATATAAATAAAGAAAGAGGAAAGCAAGTTTCAGTGTGAAAGAAAGTTAAGGATTTTACAGAGACGGGATCGGTGAGGATGTAGATTGAGAACGTGGTGATCGGTGAGGATGGAGTAAAGAAGGAAATTTTTTTTTTTTTTTTTTTTTTTTTTTCAGAGACGGGACACACTGAAACGACGCAGTTTTTATAAGGGGTAAAATTGTCTTTTACTATTTTCGTTTTCACCAATTGGCCGGAGATGTCACATTGGGAATTAATTGCACCAAATTCAATAGTTCAAGGGGGCAAATTGTAGTTCAGGGGGGTTAATTGCACATGACCAATAATTGAAGGGGGTTTTTTGCACTTTACCCTAATTTACAGCCATGCCTTGGCTGCTATTCGATGATCAATTATTTTCCTGCTAGAAAGTCCTGGTTTGATTGCTATTAGAAAACAACCATTTTTTTCATCTGCAGCAGACAAGGTGCCCAAATTTTTATTTTATTTTTTAAAAAAAACCATATTTTGTTTGAAAAAGAAAATAAAGAATATTAATGGCAACAATGAAGTGTGTAAAATTAATTATACTAGTATTCAAAATTTGCGCACAAATGAAGGCACGTGGTTAAGTTATACTATTTTTTTTTTTTTTTTTTAACACCGTTAAGTTATACTAATTAATAAAGTGGATTATATGAAGACTACATTCTATATATGAAGTTCACTGTGCACAAGTACCCTATAAAATCTTCAATACATGGTCATGTCCTAGTATTTTAAGAGTGTCACATCGTCCAGTGATTTCATCCAATCACAACATATTCTTTTAATTGTAAATCACTTTTCTAATTTATAATATTAAAAAGTGATTTACTTATATAAAAAGAAATATCTTGAAAATTGAATAATTTAGTTTTTGATTGGAGACCATATAACAGGATGGTTTTGTAATTATTATTTTTTAAAACGTAAGATTCAATGCAATTTAAAATATATCATGAATTAATTAAAAGATAATATATATATATATTATATATTATATGTTTATTTTTAACGTATCTATGTCTTACCCGTGTTATTTTCTTTTGAAATTTGTCATTGTGGAAGGAAAAATTTCCCTCCAATAAGAATGAAACACGTCACCATTATACAAATCTGCATTTAGGAGATCTCATAAGCCCATCCAGATCAAGCCCAAGTTACGTTGTGCTTTAACCCATTATCATGTATGTTGGGCGTCCAAAACCAGGCAAGAGTATCAATCAACTCAACATCACCGCTGTTGAAGTTTTGGTCCATTAGTCAAGTCACTTACGCCAAACCACATCCGGCCCAAGTATAACTAAATATGGCTCAGTCCTATTAAGCAAAAGAGTCAACCCAGAAGGAAAGTTTTTATACAAAGCAAGTCATACGTAGGAAATATGATATAATGGAAAGAATTCTATTTGTAAAGAAACTCATGTAAGGGAGAATTAGGGGACAAGTAACGCGAGTCCTACGATAATTCTACCAACTTTTTGTGTATAAATAGAGGCCTAGGCCCAATAAAGGGGCGAGCAATTCAATTCTTCTATAGACACTGTTCTTGTTTATTTTTATTATTTGTTGAGTGTATTGTATTATTCTCTCTCAATCGTAATTGGTTGAGCGGAATTTTGCACCTACATTTTGGCGCCATCTGTGGGAACGTGTGTAAATATATTCCCACTCTTGTTTTACAGGTGAATCCTGCAACTACCATCCAGAATGTCGAATGGAGGATCTTCAACAGATCAACAGACGGAGTTGATGCAGAAGATGCGTGAAGAGTTTTTACACCAGTTTGACGTACTTCGTCAGGCAAACGAAGCGAGCGTGGCTCAGATCGCCTTACTTCAACAGCAGAATAACACTCTGCAAACGGCGATGGCTCAATTGGCACCACCGCCACCAATGGGTGACGCAGCAGCACCCCCTAATCAGAATATTCCTCCGATTACCGGGCTTCCACCTAATGGGTCTCCACCTAATGGGGCACGACCCAATGAGGCTCAGCCAAATGAGGTTCAACAATAACAGAGGGCAAGATCCGAGGCTGTGGCTTCAGATAACGTCCCTCATCGCACGCAGGACGAGCAAGTCGAATCCAGCCATAAGCTCACGGTGTGGTCCAATGGAATTCCAGATGGTGCAGGTGTTCAGGATGCCTTTGATGAGAAAAGACTCCTGAAGATTCAAACACCAGCTGAGATGGCTAGAGAACACAAAAATTCCTTGGTCAAAACTCCTTTCACTGACGATGTGTATCTGGTTGAAAGGCCCAAGAAATTCACCATGCCTTCTTTCACCCAGTTTGATGGAACGGGGGATCCTTCTCGACACCTAGATCATTACGCTCAAAAGATGGCTTTGCATGATTGTAATGACCCTTGGATGTGCAGAGTTTTTCCTACCAGCTTGACAGGAGCAGCACTAGAGTGGTTCAGGAATAGACCGCACAAGTCCATCCCGGATTACGTAACTCTGTGCACCATGTTCCTGGCACAGTATTGCGGAAATAAGAAGCAAAGAAGAGTATTGCCAGCCTCTTCACCGTAAGGCAAAAGAAGAGGGAGACATTGTAGGATTTCTTATCAAGATTCAACATGGAAGCCTCAGAAATAGCAGATTGTCATCCCGCGACTGCTATAGAGACATTTAAACTTGCGATGATTCAGGGGACGAAGTTCCACACTTCCTTGGTCAAATATTCTCACCCCGACATGCAGACTCTCAATACCAGGGCCCAAATCTACATTCAGCTTGAGGAAAATATAGCCCACTGAACGCAGCACGCCACCCTCGTGATGGTGGAGAACAAGCCTCGAGAGAGAATTCCAACTTCAAAGATTCAAAAAAGCCAATCTACCTCAACGCCGATCACCCAGGAACCTGAGAAGAAACAAAGGGTAGAGGAAGGATTTACACCTCTTCGAACTACCTTGGCTCGGCTCTTCCAAGAGAATAAGATGAAGTTCACAACCCCGCAGCCAATAAAGCAACCCCTGGAGCAAAGGGACAAAAGCAAGCATTGCGCTTATCACCGAGATTATAGGCATTTAACCAATGATTGCAGATCCCTTAGGCGATATGTGGAGAATATGATCGCCAGAGGTGAGTCGGCGGATTACCTTGTGACCAAGGAGTATGCAAAGCCCCGCGAGGTCTATCCCCGCAAGGTGGAAGGTACGCAAGTAAAAGTCATTCATGTAATACATGGCAGGTCTGAAGATGATCAAGAGTCCGAGAGGGTATATAGATCCAGATTGAGGGTAGCCCACAAGCTCAGAAAGATATCCTCGGTCAATGTTATCACTTCGGGTAGCATCAGTATTGGATTCGGAAATGGCGACCTATCCAGAGTTCAACTCCCCCACGAGGATCCATTGGTCATCAGTCGTTTAGTGGCCAATTGTATGATCAAGAAGGTTTTGATAGATCCAGGAAGTAACGCCAACATCATCACAAAGACGGTCTTTGAGCAGCTAGAGATCCTGTCATCATCTATTCGACCTACCTCCAGCCCGTTGATGGGATTCGATGGCACAAGAGTAAATCCCTTTGGAGTAATAGACTTGTCCGTAACTGCGGCGAAGAGGACTCTAAAGGATAACTTTGTTTTAACAGAGATCCATCCTTCTTATAATCTCATTATGGGAAGAGGCTGGATACACCGGATGAGAGGAGTTCCGTCCACCCTTCACCAGGTGATGCAGTGTTTATCTCTAGACGGGAAAAAAAGTGATTAATTTATGGGGCGATCAAGTCGCTGAGAAGGAATGCTATATGTTGACACAGGCTGAAGCAAAGAAGGTGTCTACTCAGCAGCAGCCAGGTGTGGCTTCCAAAAGTATACCCAAATAGCAATTACAGAACCTTCTGCCCAAGTATCTTAAGGTAGAGGAAGAAGAAAAAATTGCGAAACCCACCAAAGAGACCCTTGAAGCCTTGGAAGTTATCCTCGGCGACCCTCAGAAGGTCACTTATTTAGGCTCCTCCTCCGCGTCCGAAGAAAATTAATTGATGTTATTCAGAGCAATGCAGATGCTTTTGCATGGGATCACTCGGACATGGTAGGAATCGATCATTTAGTTTCCTGCCATAGCCTGAAGGTGGATCCGGGGTTCAAACCGGTTAAGCAGAAACACCGAAGGTTTGCCCCCGAACGCAATCGCATTATAGCTGAAGAAGTGAACAAGTTGTTGCAAGTAGGTTTCATTCGAGAAGTGCAATATCCACAGTGGTTGTCAAACGTGGTGGTCGTACAAAAGAATAATGGAAAGTGAAAGGTTTGTGTAGATTATACCAACCTTAACAAAGCCTGCCCTAAAGATAGCTTCCCTCTGCCCAAGATAGATCAGATGGTTGATGCTACCATCGGCTACGAGAGGCTAACATTCCTTGATGCATACTCGGGATACAATCAAATTCCTATGAACCCTGAAGATGAAGAAAAAACGGCTTTCATTACAGAAAAAAGGACTTATTATTACAGGGTCATGCCCTTTGGACTGAAGAACGCTGGGGCTACTTATCAACGTCTTGTCAATAAGATCTTTGACAATTTATTAGGAAAGACAGTTGAAGCATATATAGATGACATGGTGGTCAAAAGTGTGAAGAATGAAGACCATCCGAAGCACTTCCAGGAAGTTTTCGATACCTTGAAGAAGTACAACATGAAGCTGAATCCATCCAAGTACTCATTTGCGGTATCATCAGGTCAATTCCTCGGCCACATAGTGAATAAAAGAGGAATAGAGGTAAGTCCGGCTCAAGCTAAGGCCCTCATCCAGAATCAGGAACCAAAAAATTGCAGAGAGGTACAAGTTCTTACCGGTCGGATCGCAGCCCTCAGCCGGTTTATATCCTGATTGTCAGATAAGTGCAAACCATTCTTCAATACTATAAGATCTAAGAATAAAAATATATGGGGACCTCAGCAGCAGGAGGCCCTCAATCAGTTGAAAGGTTACATGGCCGAACCACCAGTTCTATCCGCTCCAAAACCCGGGGAGGTTCTTATTATGTATTTGGCAATTTCTAGTATAGCGACAAGTGCAGCATTGATTAGAACGGAAGGAAAGAGGCAATATCCAGTTTTCTACACAAGTAAGACAATGATAGATGCGGAGACACGGTATAGCAAAGCAGAGAAAATCATCTTAGCCTTGGTTTATGCCAAGAGAAAGCTTTGGCATTATTTTGAATCTCACAGCATTGTGGTACTCACTAACTATCCTATACGGGGTATACTCTCTAAACCCAATCTATCTGGGAGAATTACCAAATTGGCTATCGAGCTCAGGTCCTTCGACATAACTTATGAACCGAAGGTGTCGCACAAAGGACAAGCCGTAGTAGACTTTCTTCTAGAATATGAAGACACTCCCGAAGAGCCGGAACCCCTTGAACCACAGTGGGAGCTTCGGATCGATGGCTCCTCGAATCAAGCCAGGGGTAGGGGTTGTTATGTCAACACCCGAAGGCACCAAGTTGCAGCAGTTTATTTGCTTGAAATTCCCTGCTACGAACAATGAGGCCGAATATGAGGCGTTACTTACTGGTCTTCGATTGGTCAGCAGCCTTTAGGTACGTTGTTTAAAGATTTTTAGTGACTCACAGCTTGTTATAAATCAAGTGACAGGTCAGTACTGTAATACCCCTAATTTTAAAAGGATAGTCTCGGCATTTATTTTTTATTTTTATTGTATTTTTGCGTGATTATTTGGTTTAATTATTTTATTTAATTGTTTACCTATGTGACATGTATTTAATTGGTATTTATTTATTTGTTTAATTGCATTTTTTTTATTTAATTGATTATTTGCTTGCTGGAATGTTTGAATTAATTGTGATTTTATTTAGTTGTTATTTTAATTGGTTTTGGTTTTGGTTTTGTTTGAATTGATTAATTGAGTATTTTTCATTTTTATGTTAATGGGTTGTTTTTAAATTGACTTAATTTAATTTATTTTATTTTATTGGTTTAATTTAAATGTTTAAGTTTTTCACGGTGTAATTATTTTATTTATCTAAATTTAGGGTTTTAGGATTTATCGTTGGCCGACTTATAGTCAGAGTTGGAATAGGATTTGGTAAATTGAAGCCTATATATACATGTACATACTGGGGTTTAGGGTTTTAGAAAACATAAAGCTACGTCTGTATCACCAAGGGCTGCTAAGAAACAGAGTGTGAACTTAGGGAATTGGCAGAGCAGTTCAAGGAAGACTACATAAACTGTGGAATTAGAGTTTCAAAGTCTGAAACTCAAGGCAAGTCTTGTTCTTCTCTATCTCCCTAATCTGTGTTCTGTGCATGGTTAGGAAGACTCCAGGGATTAAACTAAGGCTTAATTACAACTTTTATGCATATTTAATCAATGTTTAACTTCATGGAATTGAACCTGTTCTTCATTGTTTCAGAAAGATAGTAAATAAACTGTAGTTTTGTAATTTGGCTTCGTTGTGTAGTATTTTGTTTTCAATTCTAATTTGATGATATATCATTGTTTCACAATCGATCTGGAACTGAATTAGGCCTTAAAACATGCACTAAAAATTTCTACAAGAACTGGTACTCACAGAAAATAGAGAAGACGACGAAGCGGACGAAGCTGCTAAGGGGAAAAGGGAGCAGGCTCTTATAACCCCTTAGAGCCAGCTCCTAGAAGGTAGAGCCGGCTCTAGGATGTTGTGGAGCCGGCTCTAATGAGCCTAGAGCCGGCTCTGAAGAAAAGAAGAGCAGGCTCTTTTAATTTCTAAATCCTGCTCTCTCTTAAAAGGTCCAGAAACTGTTTTTTTGTGGTTCGTTTGGCTGAAATTGAATTTTCTGGAACTGTTTGAAGCTACTAAATGTTGTAAATATGTGTTTGAGACTTATAATAATGTTAAGAAGCAAGTTCACATTCAGTTATTGAGGATTGGAATTAATTTAAGATTAAATAGAGGGCTCGTAGGTGAATGGTTAAATATATAGATTACGCTGCTTACTGTTTTAGCAATTGGTTTTATTGCATGATCTTAAATTATGAATCATATTGTTAGTTGTGTTAAGAGCATATGACTGTTAAAATATATGTGTTCTTAGCTGGAATTAACTAATGTTTACAAACTAACATACAACGCATCAGTTATGGTATTATATGGAGAAATAAATTGTATAATCTTGATTTGTCAATTTAAAGGATTGGAACTGGGATTCTAAAATTGTTATTGGAGGCACAATTTGGTTATACACATGTTAAACTATATTTATGCAAATTTTGGAGTGTGGTTGGTGTAATACCCCTAATTTTAAAAAAGATATTCCTGGTATTTAATGGTATTTAATTTATTATTTAAGTGCATTTTATTTGATTATGTGTCATTATTTTTTTTATTAGATGTTTAATTGTTTTCTTTTGTGGTGATTTAATTTATTTAAATGATATTTATTTTTAGTTATTTGATTGGAATTACTTGTTAGTGTTTTAATTATTTAAGTGGCATTAATGGTTTAAGTGTAATTGGTTTAGTTATTTGATTGGAATTACTTGTTAGTGTTTTAATTATTTAATTGGCATTAATGGTTTAAGTGTAATTGGTTTAATTATTCTATGTGTGTCTTATTTTATGTGTGTCTTATTTGGGTTTAATTGGGTTTACTAATTATTATTTTGTTCAATTAGATTATTTGTTAAGTATTTAATGGTGAATAGGGTAATTAGGTAAATACATCTAACTAGGGTTTTAATTACAGTATAAATTAGGATTTTATATTATAACCGTCGTAGGTTTCTACGTTAATTAGATGGGCCGGTTAGGATTGTGAGTTAGACTTAAATGAACCTAGGGTTTAGGAAAACTCTATAAGTATAAGGTAGACGTCTGTGTAGGGTTTTTTTTTAAACAAAGCACACGTTTTGTGGAAGTGGAGAAGGAAAAACGCAGTTTTTCACATTCTGCCAAGGTTTGATCAAAGCTCCGATCCCACTTCGTCCGTGGTCCGATTGAGCTGAATTTTGGAGGAGAGGTTCACGACTCAGTGACGCACAATCTGAACGGTGGAGATCAGAGTTTGACCTCGGGAACAGTGATTCGTACTCATGAACAGTAACTGGGTCGCACAGGTTTTTTCCATTCTGCCCAGATTTCATTAAACATCCGATCCCGCTTTGTCCATGGTCCGATCGAGCTGAATTTTGGAGGAGAGGTTCATGACTCAGTGACGCACAATCTGAACGGTAGAGATCAGAGTTTGACCTCGGGAACAGTGATTCGTACTCGTGAACAGTAACTGGGTCGCACAGGTTTTTTCCATTCTGCCCAGATTTCATCAAACATCCGATCCCGCTTCGTCCGTGGTCCGATCGAGCTGAAATTTGGAGGATAGGTTCATGACTCAGTGTCACACAATCTGAACGGTAAAGATCAGATTTTGAGTTCGGGAATAGTGTTTCGTACCCGTGAACAGTAACCAGGTTTTGGAACTCGTCGGGATTTTTTAAGAAGACGACGTTGAAACTTTGAACAAAAGTTTCCGAGGCAAGATTCTATCCTTACTCTTTCCCTTAGGCTTCATACTCTTTGCACTCTTAAATGATTTCAGGATTAATGAAGATTAAACCAAACTAAAATGATATTTGTTTCGCTATGAAACTGGTAGTTACAGTAGTGTTGTATGCTTGTTCAACCTAGACTAAGCATGTTTGTGGATGCATTGTGGTTCTGTGGTTCACGTTTTCCCTTACCACTGCTAGTATAAA